ATTTTGTTTACTCTTAATGTATTTAAAGAAATCCTTACTGGTACTTTTTATATTTTCAGCCAACCTTTTCTCATACATCCTTTTGTATGTCTTAACTTCCTGTTTCACCAACTTTCTTGATCTTCTATAATCTTCTAAATCTCCTGTCATACCAGTCAATTTAAATTTCTAAAATTTATGATTCTTTTCTTTAATTTTATCTTTTATACTCTTTGTGAGCTAACCTGGTTTTTTTTTACTTGCAGCTACACTGTTCTTTCTATAAGGAATATGTTTACCTTGAATAGTTAACAAGTTTACACATCTGATCAGTGTCTCCAAATAACTCAGCTGTCCAATTCACAACAGATAATTCTTGTTGCATCCCTTCAAAATTTGTTTTTTTAATTTGTGACCAAAACATCATCATCATTCCTTATCTGCACATGCAGCAAAACATTGAACCTAATAGAGCAATGATAAATTGCACCCAGATGTTCCCAAATTTCCACCCTCTCGATCATTTCTATGTTTGAAGTTAACAATAAATACAAAATAGCATTGTTTCTAGTAGGTTCTTGAACAGTTTCCAAAATCCTTTCTCCCTCACGGTTTGACTCTAGCATTTCTTAATCTATGTGCCTGAAATTGAAATCACCCATAATTATGACTAAATTAACAGCTGAAATCTTAATCTCATTGTAAAGTTTCTCACTAATTTCATCATATCATCTGGTAATCTGTAACAAATTCCCAAATTATGTACATTACAAGCCCTCTATTTTAGTTAGCTTTGAAACTTGTGGGACTATGTAACTAGATGGATGCTTTAAATATTAAAAAAAGGTAAGAGAAATAAAACGTTGAAAGTGTTTATTCTCTTCTCCAGAGAACCATAATATAACTTAATGTTCAAGCATTTGAACTATATGCACGTAATAAATATTTATACATAAAACTACCTGAGTACATGTATACAGTGGTATAGGCCTATAAAGAAACCACTCTCCATATCCTCTGTCAAAGTTGAGGTTCAGAAGATGTACTAAAAGAAGTGTTTGTTTGTCTTAAATTTTCCACTTATCTTTATTTTGTTGTATAATAAGTACAGGAATATATTACACTGATGTGCCAAAAAATAATAAAAAACAAACATATGTATAGTGTATTATATATAAGTGTGCACATTTTTTTGCTACAGAAGTTTTACTTAAGAAATATCAGTTTAAATGGTCATACACCAAAACATACCTGCAGCAACTACAGGGTCTCTCATCAGCTCATGAGTTATTGGACAAAAGAACTCTTGTGGTAGATCCCCATGTTCTTGCCATGACAGCTGATGCTGCCAAAGAGGGTTTCTTAGAGCCTTTATGGCACGCAAAATTTTTTGACGATGACCCAAGGATTCTTTAAATAACAATAATAAAAAAACATTTACTTAATAAGGAATAGCATATTATTATATTTTTAAGTCTATTTATACCTGAAATGCAATGCTAGATCAAGTAAGTTAACTTTACAGACAAAGAGAGAGAATACAATTTTTATTATGCATGTATTAAACATACAAGTATAGATAATTTTTTACAAGTAATTTATACACCATTAATATATAAATCATTACAATAAGAAACAATGCAAAATCCATCAAAAATAAATTTGCCATCTAGAATCACTAACATTTTAGCAGTTAAATTGCATTAAAACTTGTCAAGTCAGTTCATATAATGTTACAAATCTTTCTCAATCATTAATAACAAGCTAGATCCTGTTGACTGTAGCACATGCCTACTTTAGAACAAAATGAGAGCCATGGAGAAAAGCTGGATCAGCATCATAGTCAACCAAGTGTCAAAAAATCTTCCATGCATACAAGTCACAAGAAATGTAAACAATTAAGTAATAAATCTGAAATGGCAAGAAAGGTGAATTATTTTGGAAAGTTTAATAAGTTTTGTATAAAAGGTGTTCTTCACTCTTTTATGTTCTCTTAAAAGTGGTTTGTGATTTGTTATGAATTTCTCGCAAAGCTACTCGAGGGCTATCTGCATTAGCTATCCCTAATTTAGCAGTGTAAAACTAGAGGGAAGGCAGCTAGTCATCACCACCCACTGCCAACTCTTGGGCTACTCTTTTACCAATGAATAGTGGGATTGACCGTCACGTAATAATGCCCTCATGGCTGAAAGGGCGAGCATGTTTGGTGGGATGGAGATTCGAACCCGTGACCTTCAGATTGGGATTTGAGCATCTTAAAAGTGATGGGGAATTTTTAATTTTTTGACAAAAAGTATACAATATTACATCTTTTTTCATGTTTCTTGACAAGTCAATTGAAAATAGTGCCCCACCAATAGGTTTAATCGAACCCATTTTAAGATGTAGATTTAAAAGAGAATAATGTGTGTGTCCTACTTTAGTGTATAAACAGTGAAATACTGAATTATCTGTAGTTTTAGGATGTTAAGCTTATTTTTACAGCTTGTTTTGAGATATATATACACACACAAATGTATATAAAATAACAAGTATATGTTGTATGAGTGTACATGAGTTTTCAAATTTTCCTCACTAATTTTGATAAAGTTCAAATGGTACTGGCAGATCTTGAAAGGAAAGTTCCATATAGTATAAATTATATTTTATACAAAAAGTTATGCTAAAATTCTAAAATAAAAATAACAATTAATAATAATAATTAGTCTATGATGAATACCCTCACTGTTAGTAGCATATATGGCAAGTCTCAGAAACTCTGCCAGATAAGTTTGGTTTCATCAATATATTTTCATATCATATTGTTTATTCTCTATTAACATCTTTCAGTTAGGTGTTCTTTTCTCTCTCAAATACTGATTTGTCTTTTAAGTACCTGAAAAATGTCACTTTTAGTAATTTTGAACAACATTTACTTAAAACCAATGTTACTTTTCTAACTGAGTGGAAAGTTAGAAACTGAAAATGTGAACTTCATGTTGGAAATTAACGTAAGAAAGAAATTTGGAAATGTGACTCAAATGTCAAAATAGCAAGAAAGTGTCATCATTATAGTGTTTGCAAAGGACAGGTTTAAAGTCACATCAGCAGTTTTCTAACCACATGCATTCACAGTAGCATAGAAAACTACTGGCTAACATTGGTCCCAATGGGGATTCCATCTATCTGGTCTTAAATGATGTCATTAAAGAGGAAATGGTTTAATTAGTTGGTTATAATGTTCCTCCACCTATATCGCTCACAGGTGCACATTGGCTCCTGATGATAGCATTATAAAGAGACAGTACTGTACTCTAGTTTTCAGTTCTTAGAAATAACATATAAACTTACCTACTTTCAAGAAGATCTGAAGACCTTCTTGAGTTAAATGAAGCAACTCTTGACCATCAATATTATTCTTCTTAAATGCATCTATGTGCTCTTTCAAATCTAAACGCTCTAGCCAGCTACTGACTTCACTGACTGACCAACGAACCACAGACCTTACACTTTGGTCAGATAGTGAGCACGAAGGTATTGTTTGTGTCTTCAGTCCTGCTTTTTTTGATTTTGCTTCTGGTCCTTGTTCTCCTAAAGACCAAAGGATCACAGTTTTATCATTGGATCCTGTAGCTAACAGAGTGGTGTCCAGTGAAAAGGCACAGCATGTCACATACCTGTTACAAAAGTTAGATGAATCATGGTAACTTACATAGATGTTGTCATATCTCTATTATAAAAATACAATACAGCGAAAAAAGTCAGTTTTATACAGCATAAGTACAAAGTATGCATATTAGTGAAAACACTATTTTATCCCACAACATGTGCTCATATGCCTACTAATAAGTAACACACACACACATATGATTATTGTACGGTATGAATTATCCTATATATTAAAGAATTATTTTACAAAAATACAATGAACAAGAATCTGCCTTACATAAAATGTCTCACTTAATTACAAAAAGTATACTAATACATAAAGTCCAGATGTGGTGGACTAGATGATGGCTTTAAGGGCTTATTGAAAATTGCCACCAAACTTATGAATGTAACAAACACCAACTTTATGTGTAAAACATACATTTACACATTACACTCGCATTTGTAATGATAAAGATTTCACTCTCAATAATTAAAAATACTGGATAAATAGTTTAAATGTAACATTTCAATATGAAATTTACACAACAATTTACAAAAAAATCATAACGTGAATGACAAAGTTATATATTCCAAGGACACATCACTATTTTCCCAAGATATTCATTCTTTAAACTCATAATTTCTTTCGCATTCTGCTGGAATTATTTTCATGATTTTCTGATAATTATCACCATACCTTATAAAATTTCAATTTTCTTAATTTTTTTCCCCTTTAGCATCAGGGGTACCCATATGAATCACTGTTGAGTAAATAGCCTTATGACAGTTGCATACAAACGGTACAGTAATTAAACTAAATTGTTATTACTGTGTATTTCATGTAAATTCATATTCAAGAGATCATGCAACTGTTCTTCTCAAAGGTTTATTTAACTCTCTCACTATGAGATCAGTTGAATCAACCAACTTTGTACTCGTTAGTTCCCATTCAATAACTTTTAATACATTTTGTTTATCTTCATAAAATTTGGCAGACTTTTAGTACACATTACAAGTCCCTTGTACACAAAAAATTAAA